TTTCAAAACACATTTATATATAAAATTACCATTACTTACAAATATAGTTGCCCAAAAAGACATCAGGAACACACAAAAACAGCATCAAAGTGACAGCACACACAGAACTATGGGCATACAACACAATAAACAATGCCAGGAAAGAACTACTCAGAACATTCATAAGTCTAAGGAAAGAAAAGTGTTGTTGAACGTGAAACAATGAAGTGTTGGTGCCTCACAAATAGCAAGGACTAAAGTTTGCATTGTCTCAGAATAAGCCATTTGCGAGTTAAATTTGAATGAAATATTGTGCACTGACTTATCTGACTGCACATAAGCGTAACGATTTGAACTCCCCAGACTAAATACACTGTTGCTACACCTTGTGATTCGGGGCAAGCTCTCACATAGCGGCCACCATCTCTCAAATGGGCTGGTTCCTTTGTGCCCTTCTTATCCATTGATAATCTGTGTATTGCTGCGAGGTGTCTCTTACGTAACTAAGCAAAAGCTTGCCCCGAATCACAAGGTATAGCAACAGTGGTTTTAGTATGGAGAATTCAAGTTGTTATGTTCATGTGAATTTAAAGAACTAAGTGTACCACATTTGGGTCGAAGTTAACTCGCAAAAGTGTTATTGAATTCTTGCCTGAATGTGCGTGACTATGACATACCCGTGTCACGTTTGCATCTCCTCCTTGCTCGCAGTACTGATTGCATCAGCCATTACAAATACACGTATGTCCAAATTTGTTTGCTGCGTGCACGCAGCTTTTTCAGGTCAGACCTGAGGTTTGTTCACTTATGCTCCACACAAGCAAAATACATGTCTGTGTCACTGCAAAATGCTTCAGTCAAATGAATACAGTCTCATGTTTGTGAATTGACATAAAGCGTGTTTGTCGAGGAGTTTGTGCAAATTTACTGTCCCAAAGAAATCCTCGGCAAATACCCAATCCTCAAACACATCACAAAATATGAGTAATCCGAAACCGCTGTTCCTGGCTCTCCACCCAAGCAGGCTGGTGACCTGATCTGATTTCAGTTTTTCCTATTTCTCTCTGTTTTCCAACCCTAGGGAGAAGTCTGGTGCAGGCCACAGTTGTTCCAGTCTCTCTGGAGATTGGCTACTGGCAAATTGACAATGCGAGGAGAGCGTCTGCAGATAATTTCAGTCCCCTAGTCACTCAAGGAGATAAACTCAAGGAACTAAAAGCATGTCTTGTTTAGCCTGGGCAGCTCTCCTTGCCACTTTAGGCCTAGTCTGGTGCATTTTTCCCTCCATAGCAGAAGCTGACTGAGTAAATGACCACTTTTTCCCCCATTCTTTTCTCTCTTTCCCTTTTTTATTTTTAAATGTATTTCCTTGAACCGCACATTTGTGCCGTTCGATTGAAATCCGATGCTGGAGAACGCAGAGCGCTCCCACTCTTCGTCCACACTGATTGCTTTTTTTTTTTTCTCAAAATGAAATTTGCACACGGGGAGCTCGATGGAAAAGAGCCTTGGGCTCCCTGAGGAACTAAGGTCTTGGTTATTAGTAGCTCCCCAACACGTGTGTACATCCAGCACGGGACGAGAGATGCATGTATAGCACTGATTGCCACTGATGTCTTGCTTTCCGTCTGCGATGGTATCCATGTTTCTCATTTGTGTCTTTTTTGGGGGGGTTGTTGCTAAGATGGTCAAACGAAAACATGCCGAACCAGAGATAATTTCTTCTCGTCACAATCAGTGAATTAGCAAAGCAGTGACCCGCAGTAGTGATCACTGCCCAACTTGAGGACCTGTGTGTTTTGAATCTGAAATATTGACGTTATTTAGAATTAATGAAATATTAACGGTGCGACGGATAGTCTCGTACTCCACCGACGTCGGTCCTCATGGTATCATTTACCGTAAAATGATAACAGATGGTAGTTACCATCAATTCATTGCATGAACGCAGAGCACTATCATATTGCACAACTCAGTTACAGTTAACGCTGTTGCAGTCAGACATATAAATTTACTAGGTAGAATAAGGTTCTCTTTTTGGAGAGGGTTTGATTTTGTTTTGAGTAGCTTCACGCCCCTCATATTGCATACGCTCCATATCAACACCCCTCCCACTTTGCCTCACTGCAAATTGTACTCAGATTATCCCTCTTCGTTCTCTTTTATTTGTCAATATTATGACGTGACAGAGGGCGCTAGTCACTAGGCGTGGTGCGAAGTTATAGATGGCGCTCTGCCCAGTAACAAGGGCAGATGTTAGGCGCGTATAGCTGTGTGTTAGGTGAGCACAGCACATAGGCTCCGCCTTGCGCTTGAGGCGATTGGATAGTGGAAGTCACATGTAGTGCGTGCACGCAGGGGCAGTTGCAGTAGCAGGCAGCTCGCTAGGCTATACACTGTATAAGGGATGCGCAAGCGATGTTCCGTTGTCCTGAATCCTGCTCAAGAGGATCATGACCTGATCATGAGGTAAGAGCCAAGAATCGTGTGCGAGGGTTAAGGTAACCTAGCCTAGCGTGACTGTGCCTACATGTAGGTCCCGATCAGTGCGTGTGTCATTGAGGGGCTCAGTAGGTTGAGAGGCTAATTGGCGGTGCGGTATAGTTCCAGATGGGAAATAGGTCATTGTGTTTGAGCCCCGTGCTGGACCGAGAAAAGGCACAAGTTTCCAAACAACTCAGCCTCCTTTGCTTAAAACTCCACTTCACTGGTTTACAAATGACTATGAAATGCACGTGTTAAGGTCGCGTCACTACCAGCAATCTGAACACTCCTGACCAACATGGCTCTTTTCAACTAATGAGGGGGTACTACTGCTCAAAGTGGACACAGGGATACAATTTTCCTGTGCAGCTTGGAATTCCTTCCCTCTCCTTTTTTGTTTTCTTATTTTGGCTTCCCAGTTGCATGCCGACATGTATGTATAAATACATGAAACTGTTTCCTCTGTCAGCATGAAGCAGGTTTAGGTAAACAGTTTTTTGCAAAGTGCCCGGAGGGCTTGAAAAAATAAAATGGACTCTCCTCAAGTATCCATTTTCTCTGGCAAAGACTACCTCTCCTTCACACCCACTCCTATGCATTCTTATCTCAAATTCGGCCTGAAATGGGTCTGCTCAATGCATGACGGCCTGTAGAAAACAACTTTCTCTCTCTCACTGCCTTTCTGAAAAGGTCATCTCCCACAGACATGGCTTCTTATGATTGTATCTCGCATCGATGCAGTCGTGCCGATTGGTCCGTTCCGGGCGTGGACTTTGCCGCAACACATCTTCATCAGTTCCTGCTCGATAAGCCTCTAGTAGGCCAGAACAGTTCAAGGCATGTCTGGCGCGGCCTAAAATGTGACAAAACCCCTTGCTTTTCTTCCAACACAGCTTGAAAAGGCCAATCTCTGAGGAGGAACTGACTTCGTGCTTCAGTTGATCTCGTTGATGTCCTTATTTTCCAAATAGATTTTCCCAGTGCAAAATCCTTAGATAATACTTGCCGAGGACAGTGTAAAAAAAAGATCAGAAACAATGATGACTCTGTAAAAAAAGTAGAAAAATTGTTTAATGACTGAAGTTACCAGAAGTTAGTGGACTTGACATTTCAACCCTAGAAGAATAATTTTGTAAGCATCAATTACCAGTAGAACTTACCTGTACATGTACATGTATAATACACAGAGCTGACAAATAGGTCAACTCCGTAGCGACAGCAGGTCTCCATTCTGGAAAGATGTGGATCTCATCAGCACCACCTGACTGCTTAGATCATCATTTTGTTTTAATGTCATCGTTTTCATCTTTAGATAGAGATTAGCTTGTAAGGTAATTTGCCCTGCAGAAATATGTGACATTTTGCACTGAGCAACTCGGGGCTTGTGGAACATATAAACAAGGGAGAAAAAGTTATAAAATATATTCAGGAATTATTACATGTGTATGCGTTTGCATCCGATTTCATATCTTTGTATTTCACTGTCATGCTTATCAGTTTTCAAAGGAGCTTAGGAAATCGAGAATTTCTGGTGTATCCTCATTATTGAGTGATATGTTTTGTGCCTCCCGGGAGATTCTTGGAGCTGAAAAACAAATGGGAGTGACTGAGTTGCTACCGGGCTCCTGTTGAAGAAGAGTAAAGCTGTTGATGTGTTGCAGCCTCTCAGTGTGTTAACTGCAGATTTTGGAGAATTCCTGTTTTCATGCTTTGGCTGCAATTATGCACCTTTCGTGATAAATGGTTATGTATTTTTGTCTCTTATCATGTCTTACCGAATCCTACACAATGCAGATTTTGTTTTCACAGTTCAAAGTGCCTCTGAAGGTTTAAGTGCGTTAGTGGGGAGAGAGGTAGGTCAACCATTGAGTACACATATTGTAAGCGTTCTGGGAAAAGGAAATTGATATAGTAATGCCATGATGATTCCTGGAAATAAACTGGAGCTTGGAGAAGGGCTTTTGGGATGGAACCTCAAGATTGGGATGTGTTGTGGGATTGGCCCGTGTTCCTGTTTGGTGTTTGTTTGCTCACAACCTTTATCGCCCCTGAGAAAAAATACAAAATACTGCGATCCCATCATGTTCATAAGGTAATTGAAGTGATAACCATTATGTTGTGCAGTGGGATGTGCCACTTTTGAGATGCAGGATTTCTTGTGGATGGGTTGGAGGGAATACAGTTGAGAAGTTTTTCAGAGGGGGGCCGGCTGAATGTGTGAAGCACTTTAATAGGCACCTGAGGTTGACAGTGTGTCATGATGTGTCTGGAATGGATTTTTATTTCATTTTTTTTTCATACATGTAGATGATAGCCCCCTTCCAACTCTAGGTTGCATATTGTGCAGTGGTGATTCAGGCAAAACAGAACAAAAATTCCCAAGTTTTGATCCCTGTTCACAAACTGTCCATATTTCCTTTCCAGGTTTAGACTGGCTTATTTGTTTACAAAGCCCACTTTAATTAAGATGTCCAAAGTTTCCTGTGCCAGTGAGGTGACAATAAGCTTCCAAGCACTAACTTTGTTTCTTCACACAGACGTGCGTTGTCCGAGCGTGGGACCTGGCCAAACCTCTGTTGTTCTGCCCCGCCATGAATACCCACATGTGGAACCACCCCATCACCGCCGAGCAGATCAACACTCTCAAGTCGCTGGGCTATAGCGAAGTACCCTGCGTGGAAAAGAAGTTGGCTTGCGGAGATACAGGTAATTAGGATGTGCGGTACTGTACCGAAACCAACAAGGGAGGGGGGAGTCGGCAGAATTATTTGCCTCGGTTGGCTGGATGGCTGGCTGGCTGTATTGAGGTCAATCGCCGATAGGTCTTGTCTGAGCTTTTTTTTTGCACGGTATTAGTCATCTGAGTGTGAGACGCACTCGACTGGGGAGGACGACGAATGCCTGAAGTCTACAGACGCTGTCCGCTGTGTTTGTCTTGGACCCTCTCCCAAATCTCAGTTCTTGCCGCTGGCTTCAAATTTGTCTCCGGCTGCGGCATAATTAGGAGGCCTGTAATGCTGGAACTGGGTGGGGGATGTTACAAGCTCCATCTTCTTGGGATTTCACAGTCCTTCAAAGCAGAAAATAGTCCCATGCTGCGCAAGAGTTTCACAGGAGCCTAAAATCAGGGAGTTTGCGGGGGGGGGGAGGAACTGGAGAAAAATTGGGGGGGGAGGTTGGAAATTGTCAATTTAATTAAGCATCCCATTTCTTGTACACATTGTATACATGATGTCGTCTAACTCAGCCTCCGTACCGTACACACAAGGCTCTTTCAGTTTCAAGCACGCGCCGACGCCTCACTGTAGAACCCAAGTTTCCCAAAAAACTGATTAAAACCTAACAATTAGATCTTGCTCGCTTCTCATGGATTCAAGACTGTTAAGCCATGGCACATTTACTTGACATGGACCATGATATTTAGGGCTAAGCACAGACATCAAGTAATATTTATTATTAAAAAACTGCACACTGCTGTACATGTAGTTCAGTGGTTTGCAGGAGACATATTTTCATTATTATTTATTTGACCATCACAAGAACAAAACATTACAAAATTGAACAAAATGTACAATAAACAAACAAACCAACAACCAAAAAAAGGAAGCAGTAGCGGGGACCGCGGACGAAAGTCTGAATACATAACAAGACATGATCAGACCTCCCCCCTTAGGCTGCAACATGTACATGTATGTCACCGACGTACTGAATAGTGCAGCCCTAGCCTTCGATAATGAGCTTCTCTTGTTTCTCCTCCCCCCCCCACAACTGAAGGCTCAGCTGCAGCTTTTCAAGACTGGCCTCATTAGTGGCAGATCGTTTTTTAAGTATTGAATGTGTGTGGTCAGGAATGGTGGCTTCTGTCCCAGCGCCATGACCTTCATTTTCTCATTTAAATTTGTAACAGATACCACCATCCGAATGGAATAGACGTTTAAAAATCATTTTATTATAAACAATCGTACTCTCCTTGCTGTCACCCACTGCTCTGGCAGCAGCGTCACTGGAAATGCAAACTGACTGGAAAGAAACAAACTAATCTCCTGATAAAACAGACAAAATGTCACTTTACGTTGAAGGGAAAAAGGTAATATTGGAATTGGCCGTCCCTGGTATTGTTAAATGTCAGTCACCCGTTGAGTAAATAATGTGCCATCATGTGTGTCAGGCAGTTTGTTCACCCCAGCGTCATGGTGTGCGCGGATTGCCATTAAAGCAGACGTGTGTAAATGCAGAAATTTTGTCCAACCATTTCCTCCTCTGATTGTGACATTTGCAAGAGCAAGATGGAGAGATTACTGTGTTCATGAGTTGTCTTGTTACCATGGTTGCAGAGATAATCCAAGTATCACCTTGGGGGTACTCTACTGCCTACCTTTTTTCAGTGGTTGTACAGCCATACCAAGACATTTTGTGTCGCATTTGGTCCAACACGTTGAGACTGTTCTGCTCAGGACATCTGTCCTCCGCAAGTTCATGTCGTTTTATCTATTCTTTAATTTGTGTGCACCTGATATGAGAGTATCTATTAAAGATGTGAATATGTACCTTCAACCATCTCCAAAAGAATTTCTTTGCTCTTTATGTGACCACTTGTTTAACCAAGAACCCAACTCACAAGCTTTCTAATCATAACATAATGTTCTATTACCCCCCTCTCTCCCTCTTCTTTACAGACAATTTTTTTTTAATTATTTTATTCTTTATTTTCAATTCCTTTTATCGGAGAATAATTATTTATCATAAGTGTAGTATATGTTTTGTATTTATTTCAATTAGTTTGGAGAGCCCCTTTGAAAGAATTTATTTCTTTTGGGCAATCCCTCGGGGGCTGATCAGAATATCGTCTTATTGTGTTTGTATTTGTTTCTTGTAACTTGTTCTTTCTGAGAAATGAAATAAATGAAATGAAATAAAGGGAAAGCCTGGTGTTAGCCCTTTGCAGTTGGAGGAAAACTCAATATTTCAGGATCTCTTTAAATGGCCTCGGGCATCATATTCTGTTCAACTTGTGCCCCTCTTTCTTACATGTATGTGGAAATTATTTTATCCCTCATTTACATCATTTTATTTACGTTTACATCATGTTTTTGTAAATGTTAAATGTAATCATTTTCACTGACACCTGAGTGTGCTGTTTCTGTGATGCGATTTGAGAAAGACCCAGTTCATTTGGTGGGTAGGGGGATCTGTTGAAACTGTGAACCCAACGTTTGCTCATTAAAAACTGTTGAGTTGTCTCAGTACGTTCCCATGTACTAAAACAACAAGTAGCTAAATAAGACAGCAAATTTTGATAGCAAAATGGTTAAAATCTCGCAGATTCTAGTGCAGGAGTATCTGTAACATTGGCAAATGCAGAATAGAATTTTCTGGAAGGGCCTTTTTTTGGAGGGGGAAATTTTTCAAGTTTATTACCCTTTGTGGTCTTTAGAAGGGGATGAGACCAAATGGAGGGGAGGTGTCTTAATGTACTTTGGGAAAGAATGAAGGTGTCTAAAATCACATTCAATTATAGATGGTATAAAAAACAAAAAGTTTGGGGGGGGGACATGGCCAGCCCTTGTGGGACTCCATTGGATCCACCAGTGCCATTCTCATAAAATGTGAAATTTTCCTTGGCATAAAAAAAACAGAAGGACACCATAGCGCCCTTAAAATGGCCACACGAAAATTGAAACTTAGCCCTTAAAAAGACTATGCTGTGCGGATCCTTTAAAGTCCTGCTGGAGAGCTGACTGGAAAGTAGTGAGGGCTGGGGTTTCCTTGTGTCTGACATGCACAGAGGGAGAGCTGTAATAAGCTCCCATCACTAGCCCGGGGGACAAGTCCTGGTATCTCTCTAATATCAAAGGTGATACAGAATATTTTTTCCGCCTCAAGATTGGCATGTCTGAGTGGAGTTCATGATTTGATCATGGGAAAGGCACGTTCTTGGCAGTAGTGTGCATACGGGACTGGGATTTATGTGTAGATGTTTGACCAGTGCGGTCGTTTATTTCAATTTTTGGAGCCGACTTTTCTGGGTCAGAAATAGCGACTCTCTGTAATGTGAGACCAGTGTCGGAAAATGGAAATTGCTAAAAGGACATCGAGACTAAAATGCAATGAAAGCAAGAGTCAGATATGCGTTACTGCTGATGCATGTAGAGTTTTCTTGCTCATCTGTTGAGAATCAAAACAAAGCCTCCAAAAAGTCTGCTAGATATTTCATTAATAATACTGGTTTCAAAACCATCATGTTTCCGAGTGTCGTAGAAATATCAATCTCCAGCAAATTCAACTCATCCACATTCACTTGGCTATCAAGACATCATATTCTTTTAAGAGTAAACAAAGATTATCTGTTGAATATATTTCCAGATGAAAAGTAAATCGTTTAATGGATAAGCATGTAGAAAAACACAATTTTACATATTGCCAATATTTTGAAAGTTTCATTTGGCAGAGTATGTCATGACCATGTACCATTACATGTGCACATGCATAAGTGAAAGTATCAAGTTTTTCCATTATTTATCTCATGACCTGTTAACATTTACTCCCCTCCCCTGAAAAAATTGACAAACCTTTCATAACAAAACACTATTGTGTATGCACAATCAGTTGTACATGAACACAGTACGAGCATGAACAGTGTACGATATTGATGCACAACCCTATTTTTCTGCACAGTGGAACAAATAAAAAGATGAGGTACATATGTAGTGTTGTGGTTCAACAACAGAGGGCGGCATTGCTATTTTTTCTGCCAGTAGATTTAGCAGCCTCCCAGTCGTCACCAGTGTATCGAAGAATGCACAGGATACTGTGGTCAGTTTATGGCACTGCAAATCTCCTTACACTATCTGACAAGGGTAAATCCATTCAGCCATACCATAAGGGGTTAATGCAGATCATGAAGACATGTTGCAGCATCAGGCATTATGACCCAGAGGTGACCTTAACGAAAGAGCTTCACCCACAACTGTACCTACATGTATCAACCATTCCGGGAGCTTGTATCAAGTTGGCATTTTCACATCCCCCCCCTTCCTTAAGAGGGGAAATAGAAGAAATAGGACAGAAAGAGGAAAAAAGTGTGGCTTCGGACTTCATTTGATCCACCACTCATCAGGGTTTCATAAAATAAAAACTGTAAATAATCTATGATACACAAGACTGATTGAAACTTTAGAAAATAAAGCCTGACGGAATATTAAGATCCCACCTACAGATTTATGTTAAAGATTCCACAGCTCATTGGAAAAATAGCATGCATGTTCTTCAACCTTCAATGAACTCCATCTACATGTATTTTCTAATTGTTATAAATACAGCATATCAGAGTTGCTGACTCGAGTCGGACTCAAGTTGCTATTTTTGTGACTTGACTTGTAAATACCAGCTTTGACTTGTGACTTGACTCGGACTTGCAAAAATTGACTTGTGACTTGACTTGAACTTCCAAAAAATGACTTGTTACCAACCCAAGTCAGATGCTACTCAACCAGCCCCATATATTTTTAGGGGAACTATGGAGGCATTGTCAAAATCATTGGAGAAAAGGTGTTCAACTGTCCAAAATTCATAACTCGTAACTTTGTAAGTTGACGCCTGGTTCTTTTTGCTTTTTATAGCTGGACAAAATAATGTGCAGCTTGACTTGTACTTGGACAAAGAGACTTGTGACTTGACTTGCCCTGTGACCAAATGACTTATGACTTGACTTGTGACTGGACCTAATGACTTGTGACTTGACTTGGACTTGCATATAATGACTTGTGACTTGACTTTTACTTGCATATATTGACTTGGACTGGTATATTATGACTTGCTGCCACCTCTGCAGCATATACATGTATATTTGTGCTATATTTTGCAGGTGCTGGGGCCATGGCTGAAGTGTCCACCATTGTGACAGCAGTACTTGACGCTCTCAACAGGTAGCCAAGACGGTTGCTGCTCATTTAGCACCACAAGTGTTGGTTTCCTGCTCATTTACAGTGTTGGATTCCTGCTCATTTAGCACTATGGTGTTGGGTTTTTACCCCTGTTGGCTGCAAGCCGAGTTGAAGACCCGATTACAACCCACCAGCAGTCTACCAAGATGGGTAAGATGGGGACAGCTTGTCAGTGTGTGACTGCTGCTGTCGTCCACTGACGAGGCTCGGCCGATTGAAGTAAATGCCAGAGGACTCGATTCAGGAATGGTGGATGGTACTGTAGCCAATTACCGAGCATGAAAGCAGAATAGGTTTATGCAGTATTTTGCACGTGAAACGGATGCAGAAACTATCTTGCTTGACCACTTTCCACCTGCACAATCCAGCAGAATCTGTCCAGTCAGATGGAGCATATGTGGCCCTATTATCAGCATCTGCAATACTTTCATTTTTATCAATGAAAGCAGTGTTTGGCTCCTGCCTCAGTAAAATTGAAATGACCAGGAAAAAGGTGTTTGGCTTAGCAGGCTTGCAATGCTGCTTAAACAACAAACCCCAGGAAAAATATTTCTGAAGAGAATCAAGGTGGTAACTTGGTGTTTCAGTCGAGGTGTTTGGACCACCATCAGGAAGAATGACAACATTCGAGGGGTGCTTGTCCCGGAGGGGGGGGTGATTGCTTCGTCCCCAAGAACTCATCTGTGCCATGCTCAGTTTTTAAAAACTCAATCAGACACATTGTTTTGTTTTTAAGGTCATGTGAAGCGCCAGCCCGCTTGCATTGAGCACCGCAGTGGAAAAAGTACACATTTTGGGCTGACCTGACTTGGCAAAATGGGCGCTGCGCAAGAACTCCACATGTACAACCCCCCCCCTTCCTTATAGGGTTAAGACTTTGACTTATGCCTCAAGATTCCTTTCACTCAGTATAAACTCAGGTGGATAGACAGCTTCTTCATGTCGTACTACATGTACGTTACCGTAGTGTTATTAAATGGATATAGTACATGTACATGTAGATTCTTCATTTACACAAAGTGGCAAATCAATTTATATAAAACAGGAGCATTTCGTGTAAGAAACTACTTATTAGTATAAGGTTGTCCTTGAAAAGGACCATTCTCAGTAGACTGCATTGTACAGTAGATGCATTGCTGATGCCCAGGACCATAGGGCTGTGTTCCAAGCTCTGTGCTAACACCAACCTTTGACCCAAGGCATGCCAGCTGCTAGTAATTCACCAACATTTAGGTTTTTAAAATGAGTTTGAAGGATTTGGAACTCTACAGCACACCAACTGACGCCATCGACCAGGCTCGAGGTCCATTATTGCCTTCCTTGGGTTTGCTGTTTGTAGAGTTGGACTTTTTAGCGAGTGAGAAGCTAAGCAGCAAAATGCAAAGAAAAAAGAGCTCAGGGCCAAGATAAACTTGAGCAATGTTAAAAAAAAACCTATAGTTACTGGTAGGCAATTCACGGCATCATCAGAACTCTTCTTTTTTAAGAGAGGAAGAGGTATAAAAATTTATCTGCCTGAGATGACGTCGTTAATGTCGCATGCACTTGATATACCTGTATCACATGATTACTGTAAATGTATGTTGCCGAATAACCAAATATTCGATCGATTATCGAATATTTCAATATTATATTTCGAATACAAAATTCATGAAAAGGGAAAATTTTCCATCATATTAAATGAGAAAAATTGCACTATGGGGGCTTGTTTCAAGCAGATTCAAATGAAAAATGACAGAAATCTTACAACAATTCAGACAGTAAATTATTCATAAAACAATTTAAAAGGAATAGAAATTTTCAGCAGGGCAAGAAGTACATGTATCTCTTAAAATCTTTCTCAATTGTGGCTGGAGATACTCCTAGATGTGAGAAAGCTATAATATTGTGAGAAGCTATAATATGTGTGTATTATTGCAACTGATTTTGTATATTGGCATGTTCATCAACAGTCTGCAACCGAATCTGCAACGTGTGCAACCGAATATTTGGATTGAATTGAAAGTCGAATATTCGTATAGTGAATTATTTGAATTGACTCAGCCCTTCAGTACACAGCTGCTTATGTACATGTACATGTACTTTCAATAGACACTAGCATAGATAGGGTACAATTTACACTGTGCAATATGTTAAAATTATTATTGTTTTAGTTCAGACCTTCAGAAGACCATGCGCAAGACCAGGCACAAGCAAGACCGTGAACAATGAGAAAGGAATGCTTCTGTTGCAGTTCATTTGAATAGCTTGTGACTTGACTTCCGACTGGAGGTTTGGTGTTGGCCTTGTGCTAGTCTTGTAAAGGTCTTTAAGTGGTCTCGACTACAACAGTGGTTAAAAACATGTAATGACACTGTTTTGATAACAAATTGGTTTTTTGAAAATTGCAGATTAAACTTACATGTACATGTCTTACTGAATTAACTGTTTGAGAAAGCAAGTCAAACAGCCATTTCCTGAGTCCAAGCGAATAAACTTTGATGTAAGTACAAGTGGTTCTCCTTTGGTATGATTTTAGGGCCGTTTTCCAGTACTAGATTTTGTCTCCATCTCAGGCTTCGTCTCCAAAAACAATCCCTGATGGTGAACCTGAAGCATTTAAATTAAATTGAAGTACTGTAAGTTTTGGCTTTTTTGCTTACAAAAGTAAAAAGCAGTTGAAGCCCAAGGCGGAGCCAAAGTTGGAAAACGGCCTAGGACTTTTTGTCATGAATTTTACCCACAGTTCTGGTTTCATGGCAGTGTTAAATTTATAACACACATACATGTATACATTAATTAACCCTAACCCCAAGCATATCATTTGGCTTACAGGACTCAGTACTACAAAATACTACAGTAGTCCGAGCCTGCAGGACCTACATATAGCCCAACAAATTACTACTTTTCGCTAGGGCACCCTGCATTGTTACTCGTGCAGAGAACAATAAAATCAAAGTGCCACAGTACTGTATGGTACATTGTCTTATCTATTGTATTTTATGACTTCAGAGAACAATAAAGTCATGCTCAGGCATAAAGTCATACAGGCGACAGCGCTGTTTGCTACATTTTACTACTAAGTAGTAATTTTTGGGATTATGTAGGGTTAGGGTTAATAAATCAGAAATAAATGAACTTGACATCCATTTGTACACGTAATTTGCTTACATTACTTGGATTCTTCATTACTACATTAATGCCAGCCGCATGGATTATTTTTAAATGTATTCCGTTTACATACAAAGAAATTGTGAAAGATGTTGGAAACCAATCTTTTTCATTTGCTGCATAGATATTACAGTACTGTCTGTTTGGTACATGGCCAATTCTTACATAAAGTTAACATACAAAAGACCAATTCGACATGAAGGGCTGGAACAGGAGATTCAAATGCTGGCGGATTAGCCCCAACAGTCCCAAATCCTCCAATTTCATTATTATTTTACACACACCCTGGGGGTTAGAGTTCATGAATACAAGAGAGGGGGCCATATCTGCCTGTTACATTATACTGCGTTTTAATGAACCTAGATCTGCCCTTGGATTTAGATATCTGGGCAAAGTTTTTTTCTTAGAAATTGGTAATTTCTCAAGAAACCTGAAATTTCAGAGTAATCCATGAATATCAAGGATTCACAGTCGTCGCACCATAACCAGTACTGCCTAAATTCAATAACCAAACTGTGAAGTGGTTTCAAACCCAAACAAGTGTTTTTAAGCTCATAATTTTATAAACAGAATCTACTTTATCAATGCATCTCTATGAAACCTTCTAATGTCTTTGGGACCAACCCTTTATACTTTATGCCATGTCTTTTAACGGTCCTTGCAGCTATGCATTTCAAAGACGGCTTGATTAGGGCTATGAGGATGATTTCTGCCACCCCTGTAGTAGACACATCACTGGCTGTCTTCCCCTCATCATTCGTCTGGTCCAAATGGCAGCCTCTACTTGCCAGGAGCACTATGATGGAATGCAACGTAGTGAAGTCGCTTATTGGCTTGTTGTACTGAACTACGACATGCAGCGGCGTTTCCCCGAAGTGATCTGTGGCATTAGGGTCTGCACCGCACTCCAGCAACAACTCCACGAGCCGATAGCTGGGGAAGTAGCAGACGTTATTCGTGTGGAAGTCGTCCACTGGCGTGAGCTGGTTGACAGCCATGTGCAGGGGCGTGGATCCGTTTGCAGTTCTCGGGTTGAGCGAGATCAAGCGGTACACCAGTTTCTTGGACTGGTGCTCCTGGGTTTTGGTCTTGTTGACGTGCTTGTTGATCATCACCATCAGGATGTACAGCGTGGTGAGTATATCGGCATCTAGTACACTCTGCAGGGACTTCCTGTCCACCTGATCCTGGGCTGATTTCAATTTGGCCTGCCAGCTCTCAATCTCGACGACGGCCAGGGCCAGCACATGGTAGAGGTTTTGGAAGGGAACCTCCTCCCCGATGTGCAGCATCTGGGAAAAGACCTGGGCAAAACGGAGAATGTCCTTCTGGATGGAACGGTTGAGACGATGCCGGATGTTCATGGCGTGCATCCACAGGGAGATGCAGGAGCTGAACTGCATGCTGTCTGCGCACACTGCTCCCCGGAAGATGATTGGGTGGAGCAGATCGGGGTTCTGCTGGCCCAGGATGCGCTCCCGAATGATCAGTGCCTCCATCTGGAGCGCAAAGTGGTCACCCTTGATTTCCTTCAGCTCTTGCAGGGTGACACACTCGCGGCGATCAGCGTAAGCAGGCGACAGTTCACACACCTCTTTGATGTTGACTTTCTCCGATTCCATGCATCTGTGCAGCATGGCCAAGTAGAAATAGTGGTACGTCTTGGCAATGTCATAGTGCTCCTTATCATTTGCAAACGATGCACCAAGCAATTCCAAAGCCTGGATTTTTTCCATTGTAGTCACCTTTGGCAATGACATGAGGAATTCTGCTACCTCAGCCATGCCATTGTCACAGGCGACCATCAGAGGCGTGAGTCCATGTTCATTTTTAAGCATCTTGGCATGATGCCTGACCAGAAGTTTCACAATAGCCAACCGGCCACACTCTGCTGTGAAGTGCATCGCCGTGGCGCCACAGTTAGCTTGGGCATTCACATCGCCTCCATTGACAAGTAAGTACTCGACAACAGCACCGTGCCCTTTGTAACCAGCTATCATGACACATGTATTTCCATATTTGTTTGGTTTATGGATGTCAGCCTTGTTTTGCACCAAGCACTTCACCACGTCCAGCCTTCCGTCGTAGCATGCAGCCCTCAACGGGGTGGAGTCTGACACGGTTGCATGATTAACATCAGCACTGTGATCGACCAGCGTTTTGACGACCTCGAAATAGCCCGCCCCGGCAGCGCTCCACAGCGCTGTGGCCCCCTCAATAACGTAGCCATTGAACTTGACTGTCCCCGTCTGCTCTGTGTTGACGCCATACTGGTCAAGCAGGAGTTTGACCACTGTGTTGTGTCCGTTTCGAGCCGCAGCGACCAGGGCGGTGCATCGGTAATCATCGCACTCGACTGATTCAGACAGCACGAGATTTATTATTGCCGGCGACTTGTCGTACAGCAATGCCCCTAGAGTAATAGGTTTACCATTTTTGGCGGCCTGAAATACTCGCCAGCTCAAAGTGCTAAGATTCTGTAATTGAGGTTCCTGCAAGGGCGGTGGTATGGGTGAATAAATTGTCATTTTCTGTGTCGACCCCGTAGCAACTTGCAGACTTGGGTATGTATTATAAATGTTTCCCCTAAGTTTTTAGTCAGTTCCCGTGAAGTTGTCGTGGCGGAGCTATATATGCAACGTCGCGACACTTCTAGCTGGTGCCAGTTCTTATTCCTGTTTCATGTGTGTTTCCGTGTGGCGTACATTTGGCTACCAGCTTGTTTGGCTCCCAGACGTCATCTTCCACAATTTGGTGGCTGCGTTCAAAGGCTGCGGCTAGAAATTACACGGGCGCCAAAGGAAGCTTCTGTCTTGCGGCTGAAGCCACTTGCCCTAGTTACGTGTATTGTTCCAGGTCGTAGCCAATTGATTCTGACACGGGTTGTGCATGCAAAACGGGATTTTTATCCACACTCGGCTACACCTGCACGTTCAGTATAGTACGTGCTGTGCGTATACGAAGCGAGCGAGCGACGGCGAAAGGCCAAGCCGGGAGGGAGACCTTTCACGCGGGCAACGATGCGTAAAAGCACGAAGCCATCGATGTCCATGACTGAGTCTCAAGAATCAAGCAGCTGTGATCAAGAGTAAACGCGCATCAAGTCTACAATTGTAATGACTGCGGCCCCATCCAGTGGGCCTCTGTTGGCGCACGTGTCACCGGGCCCGTCGCAAAGTGGAGGGGCCAGTGCCCCCCCCCCACACACACACACTGGGCGCAATAGCCGTACAAAAGGACTTGCAACGCCTTTGTATGAAATCGAAGTCAACCAGCGGCCATTTTACCAAGCCGAATACAAAAGCGTGGGTTGGCTCCCTTCTGTTGACGCCAGGGAGAACTAAAGGCGGGCATTGCCGGGCAAGCTTTGTATTCGGCTCGGTAAAATGGCCGCGAGTGGATTCAGTTATCTCTATAAGCTGATTAAGGGCATTGCGAGTTTAGATGGTTTTTTTATGTACGACCGCGGTGTGCGCCATTGATCTCCATGATCCGCTCCGAGTGGAACAAAAGAGGGCGTGTTTTTTGTACTCACAGCATAGGCGCGTCATGAGGCGCGCAAGTACATGTACACTACGTTTGACGCGGAGCACGCTGAGCACGGGGCCCGGGGCCGGGGAACTATTCTATTCTGGCATGCATGGTCTTTGGTCGCGTCGGGCGGCCTGTTCTTGACACAGGTTTCTTGTTCTCGCACTCGAATGGTGGGAACACGACCCAAGAACACTGTCTCGGAACAGGATCAGACACCACCTCCTCGTCAGGCTTTTACAGGAACACACGGAAAAACTCGTGAGATTTTGATTTTTGAACAGCTGCAAAAAGTAGAGAGATGGCTTCCAAAGCCAGAGACAATGGGGAGTTTTGCAAAATTAACATTAATTATTTTCCATAACACGGGAATGAATGTTCCTGTAATAGAAAGAATTCAGCCCTTCCAAACATTAACTCTCGAATAACGTACATGTACATGGACGCCGCCATGTTGCATGTTGCTTGCCACTAACTAACAGCAATAACCGGTTGTTTGTTCCTGGCGCTCGAGCGGCCGACCCACGAACAACAAATCGAGCTGTTCCTGAGCATACAAGAACAAGCCGCCCGAACTCAGCCTTTGCGTACACTCAGAACGAGTACAAGAACCCGCTTTTAACCAAAGATTGTATAGTCTGTGAAATAAAGAAAGCTTGATAAAACTCCTAAAGAAGGTGGTGTGGTTTTCAAGTTTGTCCAATATGCTAGTAGATATTTGTAGTGTATGCCTAGGTGTTTAGTAGAATGTTAAGCTAATGACAATGTACATGCATTCACGGGTCAGAGGCTCATTACAAATATGAATGTCATTAATTTAGGGGCTCAATCTAGCTTAAGCTATGTGTTGATTTTTGCCGCTATTGTATGCCTATTTTTTGGCAAATTTTACTCTGCACTATTGAAATTACTACTTGCCTTTCTTTGTTCTTGGGAAAATGTAAGAATGATAGTTCCAAGCTTTTCGTGAACCTGCTTTTGCTGTTGATGCATAGACCTGGAGGAGAAAAAAATGGTTGATGGCTGCACACGTCGACGACATTGTGCTTCGCGATCCATGCGTACACGGAGCGCCGCCCAGAAACGTACAGTGTGCATGTACATTTTTTGTACTTGGCGCGCATTATACTGTGGCGCAATATCACACCAAAATGGCGCCCACGGCGATAACGCGATTCAGTGGAGAGTTGCCCATCTTGCGCCGCTGCGCGGCGCTATACAATCTTTGCTTTTAACCACCTACCTTTCTTTTCGCCGATTGGGGGTGCACTTCAGCGCGGGGCGGATAAAGACTTATATGGAGATCAATGTGTGCGCCTTATTCAAAAGACGCGCTGACATTCGCGCATGTTGTACTTGAGCGTTCCATTTAGAATGTATAATTGAAATCCTTCTGTCTGATATTGAATGTTCTACAAGCACGCACATAGATTCAAATGTCTGCGCCCAGGACGGCGTCAAATTTTCTCAACCGGCGGAGAATGAGAAGTTAGCGCCCTAGTTTTATATTAAGTTAAGAAAACTGCAGAGCACTGATGATATGTAGGCCTAATGTAGGGGCGAAGTAAGAACAGTGCTCACCGGTCTGTTCAGGTGCTGAATTTTCGGCCCACTGGGCCTTCATTGGAGCTGTGTCGGGACTAGTAATTTGAATGCAGAAAAGTCCACACTCAAACCTCCCGGCGTCAGTGTTCCAATCCGGAATATGATGCCCTGTTCCGATAGTTATTCTAAAACCTCTAAAGGCTCAACTCCTGATAAAAAAGGCACTGCTACTATATCTGGAAAATGTCGAAATGGTGGAACCCCCCCCCAGTTCTTTAAGGGTTAGGACATCCTCTGAGCCACTAACATCAGATACTGAGTAATGTATGAATGATCACATCTGGGTTGGCCTAGGCCGTCTTTTAAGGCATACCACAAAAAAAAAAGGTTTACCAAAGTATGATTTATTTTACCTCCACCTCTTGGTTCTGCGTGCTGTATATTTTGTTCTTGTGATATGGCCCCCCCAGCTGATACTTTGCCCCCCTTAATGCCTGAAAGCTTGTGTCATTAATGCGTTCGGCCACAGTCCCTATTTGTTAATGTTTAATACCTTCATTACTTTGTGCAGTGCCGCCCCATACTTTTTTATTAAACAACATTTCGTTTCCGCGGTGAAAATTAAACTATTTGGCAAAATTAATATTTCGGGGCAGTATAATTCCACGAAACCTACGGAACTCCTATTTGTGCCACGTCCGTTGACACCCACAGCCTGTCTATACTCAGGATATTTTGTGTCATGGTAGGACTGTGGACACGTGAAAATTGTCCAGGCAAACTACTGGACATTCCCTAACGTTTAGTGACCAAAACATTATTGAGAAAGATGCGTGAAAACAAGAATTGCATAGAGGAAATTGTCTGATGGGCACCCTCCTCACTTATGGGCTATCGAACCCTCAGATTCGTTGCCTCGGAAATTTGGATAAAACAAAGCATATATTAAATTATTAATATTCCGATGCCCCCCGTTAACCCTTACTAGTGCGGTGGATGGAATACGTAATCCCCACCTCACTGTCCCCAGTAAATTGCGGACGATAATCCACCAGTCATCGCGTACACCTGTACTGTACCGGTATCCAGGCGGCTTAATTTTCTTGCTGTTGTTCTGATTCCGATGGCATCATTAGCCTACTTCTGGTTCCCCACCCCCCTAAAAAACACCCCAATCTGTTCATGTTTACATCGCTAATTCGTTAATTTGTTAACATCACATCGTTAATCAGCGTAGTGGTGTATCCAGTTCTTGGGTTGCAAGGGGGGCCAAGAGGACAGTTTTCTAACAAAAATAACTGTCCAAACTTCATTTTTTAAATAGCCCTATAACCCCCCCCCCAAAAAAAGTGGCAGTACCGTTTCTAAAATGCTGGTGCTTTTAGTTTCTTTTAGCCACATGTCACAAGAGGGCAACTTCTTGCCCATCCCCCGGCCCCTGGCAGCAGGAAGGCACTGTTCGCCGAACCAAATGACATCGTTGTAGGACGTTTGGCGTAGCGTGCGCGCTGTAATTGTTTTACATGTACTTGTAAGTACCCTCAGTGCGTAGTTACAATGTCATTTTGGTCGTTCTCTAACAGTGCTTTCGCGGGCAGCTGCGCCACTGAGGGTGCAGTGTCCTAATTCAAGGAAAATTCTCCGCCAGGCGGAGGCGCAGAAAAAG